AATTACTTAGTGACTGTTTAGTATGTGCCAGAGGCCATAATTAGATGGGGCCAAAGAAGGACAGTCATTGTTCAAGGAATTTACAGGCCAGTGGGGACTGAGGGAGAACAAAAGAGTTAATCTTTAGATAATCAGATAATTTATTAAATAAAAGCCCAAAGTTGGTATAGGTAGCAGAAGCTAATGTAGTAGTGTCCAATGTGTAAACTTGAATTCTGCAGAATAAAACCTGTTAGGGAGCAGTCTACTTTGGAACTTTGAGAAAAGAGCCTACATGATCAAAGTTTGCCTTCATAAGATTTTAAACAGCTAAGGAACCAAACTCCAGGAAGACCAAAACTGAGGAAAAGTCAGAGTCTGATAATCTCTTTGAGGAAGAGGGGTATCCACTTGTGCCATAAATATTTATTGAGCTGCTTTTTTTTTTTTTTTCTTTTTGAGATGGAGTGCAGTGGCACAATCTCGGCTCACTGCAATCTCTGCTTCCCGGGTTCAAGCCATTCTCCTGCCTCAGCCTCCTGAGTAGCTGGGATTACAGGCACATGCCAACACCCAGCTAATTTTTGTATTTTTAGTAGAGACGGGGTTTCACCAAATTGGTCAGGCTGGTCTTGAACTCCTGACCTCGTGATATATCAGCCTCAGCCTCCCAAGGTGCTAGGCTTACAGGCGTGAGCCACCATGCCAGGCCTTATTGAGCTTTTAATATGTGTTAAGCATCAGGTGCTACAAAGCAGGATGAGCATAAATGGACAACAGCCTCTGCCCTTATGGAGCTTATAATAGTAGAAGAGAAACTATTTAGAATCATTAATAAAGTTGCAACCATATTAAGTGCCAGAAATGAGAGGCATATGACACTATAGTGGGGTTTCCCCACTTTGGGAGGCCGAGGCAAGCAGATCACCTGAGGTCAGCAATTCAAGACCAGCCTGACCAACATGGAGAAACGCTGTCTCTACTAAAAATGCGAAATTGCAGAAAGCCTTCCCCAACTAGGCCAGACTTGCCATTTCTGCAAATGAGTTTCCTTCCTAACCCATTATTTACCCATGAACTCTCTGCAGTTTCCCAAGAATGTAGGCACCGCCCTCTTGAACTGTGGCCTTTCCATGGGCTGTTCCCTCTGCCAAGATTGCTCCCTCTTTACCTATCTCCATTATTTTTTAGTACTAAGTATGTGTTGGGTGCCAAGATAAGCACTTAACATCAATTTTCTCTTGTATTTACCTCAGTGAGTGCAACTGTTAACCCTGTTTTATAAATAAGAAACTATGGCCTAGAAAGGCAAATTTGCAAGCCGGGCGCGGTGGCTCACGCCTGTATTCCCAACACTTTGGGAGGATGAGGCGGGTGGATCACAAGGTCAGGAGATTGAGGCCATCCTGGCCAACATAGTGAAACCCCGTCTCTACTAAAAATACAAAAATTAGCCTGGCCTGTTGGTGGACGCCTGTAATCCCAGCTACTCCGGAGGCTGAGGCAGGAGAATTGCTTGAACCCGGAAGGCGGAGGTTGCAGTGAGCCAAGATAGCGCCACTGCTCTCCAGCCTGGCGACAGAGCGAGACTCCGTCTCAA